ATACTGATATACACCTGAACATCAGCAGGAGAGGACTCTTTAAAGTAGAGACACTACATACTGATATACACCTGAACATCAGCAGGAGAGGACTCTTTAAAGTAGAGGACACTACATACTGATATACACCTGAACATCAGCAGGAGAGGACTCTTTAAAGTAGAGACACTACATACTGATATACACCTGAACATCAGCAGGAGAGGACTCTTTAAAGTAGAGACACTACATACTGATATACACCTGAACATCAGCAGGAGAGGACTCTTTAAAGTAGAGACACTACATACTGATATACACCTGAACATCAGCAGGAGAGGACTCTTTAAAGTAGAGACACTACATATGATATACACCTGAACATCAGCAGGAGAGGACTCTTTAAAGTAGGACACTACATACTGATATACACCTGAACATCAGCAGGAGAGGACTCTTTAAAGTAGAGACACTACATACTGATATACACTGAACATCAGCAGGAGAGGGGAGAGGACTCTTTAAAGTAGAGACACTACATACTGATATACACCTGAACATCAGCAGGAGAGGACTCTTTAAAGTAGAGACACTACATACTGATATACACCTGAACATCAGCAGGAGAGGACTCTTTAAAGTAGAGACACTACATACTGATATACACTCTGAACATCAGCAGGAGAGGACTCTTTAAAGTAGAGACACTACATACTGATATACACCTGAACATCAGCAGGAGAGGACTCTTTAAAGTAGAGACACTACATACTGATATACACCTGAACATCAGCAGGAGAGGACTCTTTAAAGTAGAGACACTACATACTGATATACACCTGAACATCAGCAGGAGAGGACTCTTTAAAGTAGAGACACTACATACTGATATACACCTGAACATCAGCAGGAGAGGACTCTTTAAAGTAGAGACACTACATACTGATATACACCTGAACATCAGCAGGAGAGGACTCTTAAAGTAGAGACACTACATACTGATATACACCTGAACATCAGCAGGAGAGGACTCTTTAAAGTAGAGACACTACATACTGATATACACCTGAACATCAGCAGGAGAGGACTCTTTAAAGTAGAGACCACTACATACTGATATACACCTGAACATCAGCAGAGGAGAGGACTCTTTAAAGTAGAGACACTACATACTGATATGCACTGAACATCAGCAGGAGAGGACTCTTTAAAGTAGAGACACTACATACTGATATACACCTGAACATCAGCAGGAGAGGACTCTTTAAAGTAGAGACACAACATACTGATATACACCTGAACATCAGCAGGAGAGGACTCTTTAAAGGAGAGACACTACATACTGATATACACCTGAACATCAGCAGGAGAGGACTCTTTAAAGGAGAGACACTACATACTGATATACACCTGAACATCAGCAGGAGAGGACTCTTTAAAGTAGAGACACTACATACTGATATACACCTGAACATCAGCAGGAGAGGACTCTTTAAAGGAGAGACACTACATACTGATATGAACCAAATTAGCCTCATAGAGCCCCTTTAATAAAGTCCCTTTTATGTAATTGGTTTGGTTTAATCTCTGTGCAAAAGATAATTTATTGTTCTTAAATTATACTCCAAATGTCAGGTCAATACAAATAAGAGTTATCCCAAGACAACCTTTTTTAATCCGATAAAGATATTGCATTACGTTTTACAAGTTCTATGTTGGCCTAATAGTTAATGTCCAATCTAATCTGGTCAAGATTTCATAGCAATTCAAATGTATTTCAACAATTATCAAAGAATTAAAACAACATTTTAAAAACTAACAATATTGAGGCTACAAATGTGTGTTTCAGGGACGTGCATTCATGATTTTATGTCAGTAAATTATGGTAATTTGGCAAATTTAAATATATTTCAAATGTGTAAAATTGTTCTTCTCTGTGTCCCGCAGAGGATTGTTGAGCATGTCTCTGGTGTGGGTTTTTAGAAGTCACATTTATTTAGTGGACAGAATGAATCAGACGGAGTGAGACTAATGAGGCTCAAACACTACTGTGGTTAGTGTTGGGGTTGCCTGTAGCTCAACGATAAAGAGAAAACTGGTTCAGGAGCACAATGAGGTATGACGGCATTTAATGTGACTGCAAGTGTGTGCCCAAAATATTGAAAGCAACAAAAATGGCATGGTACATCAGTGGGGAAACCTCTGCGATGCAATACAGAAGTGATACTAAGAACAGTGTCACCATCTAGTGGCTGTACGGAGATACTGCATTTTGAATATCATAACAGGTGTAAACAATACTTTTGCATTTGCTGTGTTGTTGTTGTTTTGCTGTATCTTGTAGGGTGTAAAGTGTTAAAACAAAGAACCCATCGAACCCTTCATATGTGGATGAAACAGCACCATCTAGTGGAGATTGTGTTGTGCTGCATTATTTGAAATATATTTCCAAGCTTTTAATGGTACAGGTCATGTGACCCTTTCTAAAGGAAGTCCTAATACATGCATTTATTAATCTTTGACCTTTTTGAATAAATCTGGTAGCTCACACCTTAATCTGTGTGTGTGTGTATTCTTGTTTACTTATCACAGTGAGGTCCAAGTAAAAATGTTAGACATTGAGGTATGACGGCATTTCATGTGACTGATCGGCATTTGGACGATCAGCATTTTCGTTTACGGCCATCAAGCTCTGGAATGCTCTTCCAGTTGAACTTAAAACCTGTACTGATTTTAACTCGTTTTCTTATGGTGCAAAAAAAATGATATTAAGCAACCAGTCATGCCAACATTAATTACACTGTAATCTGAGTTTTTTTTTAATTTGAACTGTATTGTCATACTATATCTTAGATATTTTATTTAAGTGTATTTGAAGTGTACTAAGTATTATGTTCGTAACCTGTATTTAAATCAGGCTTTATAATTATTTGAGTGACCGAGATCATGTAAGTGTATTTCAAGTGTACTATGTATTAATTTATTGAGCTGTACTTAAATCAGGTTTTAAAATGGTTTGACTGATAGAGATCATGCAATGTTATTATTTGTTTATTGATTGTTATGAACCTGCCTGAGGACCACAGATGGAAATGAGCTATTAGCTATAATCTGGCATATTGCATCTTTTCTCTTTGCTGAGATTAATGTTTTTGTATGCATGGTCCTTCTATAAATAAATAAAAAAAATAAATAAAAAAATATCATAACAGTTGTAAACAGTGCAATATATTTGAAATGATAAACCCTTTTTTTTTTACCCTGCTTTAGCAATATTTATGTTGATTGAATGTGTCCTCATTTGCTGTGTTGTTGTTGTTTTGCTGTATATTTTTGTGTGTAAAATGTTAAATCAAAGATCCAATCGAACACTTCATATGTGGATGAAACATCCCCATCTAGTGGAAATTATGTGTTACTGCATTATCTGAAATATTTCCAAGCTTTTAATGGTAAAGGAAGGTCATGTTACACTTTCCTTATACATGCATTATTAATATTTGACCTCTTTTGAATAAACCTGGTAGCTCACACTGTAATCTGTGTGTATTGGATTATTCTTGTTTACCTATCGTTGTGAAGTACAAGTGCAAATGTTAGACCTTGTGAGGACATACTCGTCAGTCCGACTTTTTCAAGGTTAATACCCAGGGGTTTTTATGTTTAAGGTCAGGCCAGTGTTGGGGGATCAGGTGATGCATTTAGAAACCGAGTATACCCAAAAGTATAGGTAAGTATAGTTCAGCATGTTCCTTTCTCATTCTTGTTTTTTCACTTTTATTAGTTTATGTATTATTCTGCTGTATTATCATTTCCATGCATGTACCTTAAAGTTAATTGAATAACCAACTACCCTGGGTTGCATTGACTTTGCTTAGTAAAGTCATTGGTAATGTATCTTATGCCGTTTGTCGTGTCAAGTACAGCTCTTAAGGGCATTATAAAGGAATAATGTGTTTTTATTTGTCAGACAGTTTATACATTTTTTATCTTCACGGTCATCTGTACATTTTTCTTACTCTCTAATGCTGGTTTATTTCTATTTTCAGATGTTTCTATTTTTGAATTGTTTATTTCTACTCTTTTAATTTGTTATTATGTGCAATGCCTTGTTTTGTTTTATGCTGCTGCAACAAAAACATTTCCTAAACTGGGATTAACCTGTTAAGCCCCGAGCCTGTTTTTCAGGTTTCAGGCTCAAAAATGACATGCCCAAAACAAATGACTACAATTTCACTTCTAAAAGGGTTATATGAATAATTTCTTTTATCAAAGCAAGGTTACATCTGTGAGTTGGATGTAGAAGTGTCAGAATCAATATAGATTTTTCTCAGTCAGAGTAAATTCAGATGGAACATAGCAAAAAAAGGTAAATTCTTACCTCCGCCTAAAGAAAAAACATTACTTATAGTGAAAACCACCCTTGAATGATGGGATGGTAGACTACAAGCTTTAGGACTCCAAACTATAACATATAATAAGTACCCTGTATCAAGATTGAGGCAAAACAAGTTACATTTGACCTTTTTAGAGAGATTTAGAAAAAAACAGTTCCAGGCGGAATAAGCTTTCGGCACATTTGGGTACATCTGGTTCCATCAGTGCCATTTGACCTTTTTCAGGTACCAGACTATAAAAATGATGAATTACATTGAATTATCACCATAGGTATTCATTCCATTTAAAGAAAAAAAATTAAATTAAATACATTTTTTTTATAAAAAATTAATTAAGCTTTGGGGCTTAACAGGTTAATAAAGTACATCTTATCTTATCTTATCTTAAGGTTGTAGAAATGCTCTAGCTTTTCTTCAAACCTTTCCACGATTGTTGTTGTGCGACTTTGATCAGTTTAATATACACTTTACGTCCAAACCTGATAGACAGTGCAAACTACCAATACATGTAATCTTTTTTAAACAAAATCAAGAACATTATAGTGTTGGACAATTAGAAAATGGATCAAACCAGTAGTTAAAGAAAATAAAATAAAAAAACAGACAAAAAAATGCAAACTTTTCATAAAATGACTTTATTGGAGACACTTTTTTTTGTTTAAAAGAGACACAGCAATTGTACTGGCACAGATACCAAGCAAGGAGTTTTGTTTTGGCAAAAGACAAAAACATAATAATATTTAATAATAATTTAGATGGAGTCATTCTGTAGTAGGGCTTATCACTCTCTCCACCAGGCCAAAGGAGACATTCAGACTGTAGTCTTTTTTGACCGTCCTCATCTGAGAACATTGAATCTCAACAGAAGTGACAATTGGGACAAACTAAAGGCACCGTTCAGCTACGCACACACACTTTACCCAAAACCTTTAAAACTTTAGCTTGCATTCTTGGCGTTCTTCTTCTTCTTTTTCTTGGGGGTTTGCTTCTTTGCGGACTCGGCATTGGAAGCGGCAGCCGTTTTCGGTGTGTCTTTGGAGGGTGGAGCTGATTGTGAAGTGGTTGGTGCTTCTTCTGGTTCAGCCTGGACCTTCTGCTCTGTCACTGGTTCAGCCTGGACCTTCTGCTCTGTCACTGGTTCAGCCTGGACCTTCTGCTCTTTCACTGGTTCAGCCTCAACCTTAGCCTCTACTACTGCTTTTGGTTTTGGATCTGTTGGTGGATCGATCTTGACTTCCTCCGGCTCAGGTGTTGGTTCAGCAGGTTTCATCAGGATCTCCTCCTCTGCTTTGACTGGTTGCACCTCTTTGTCCATGACCTGGGTTGGGACTTTTTCCACGTCTGGTTTTGTGTCTGTTGGCATCACTTCAGAAGTGTTCTCCACTGGTGAAGACGTTGCTGGCTCCGTAACTTGATCTGACTGTGGCACAACTGATTCCTCTGACTTGACATCTACCACCTGCTCCTGCTTGACCTGAGGTTTGGTTTGGAAATGGTCAAACGCAGAAGCCACCAAGTCCTCTTCTGTTTCTTCCTCCTTATTGTCCTCTTCATCATTATGGGCAGGTGCATTCAACAGGGAGTTGGCGAACTCCTGCAGCTTTGTCTGTTCCTCCTTCAGACGAGACATATCCTCCGTCAAGACCGGGTCCTCAATCCCGATCTCATGGAGCTCCTGTTGCTCAAACGGGCTCAGGTCAGAAGATTTGTCACCGAAGATTTTTATTGAGACGTTGGAGTTATTCTTGCTGATTTGTTTGATCTTTTCATAGAGCATTCCCCTCTCCCTCTGGAGGGCGTCACATAACCTCTCCAACTTATTAATTTTCAGGACGAAAATGTCGTACTCTCTGCATTTCTCGGTTCTCTGAAACAGAAAGAGCGACGGAGAAAATTAGATATAAAGGGATGTAATTAGAAAACAAACAGTTATGGTAAATAGCTATCTGCAAAATGAGTTATCCCATTATTATTGTTCTTTGGATCAACAGGACTTTCAAAATGACAAGAAACAGCGGCGTATCATCAACATACCTCAGAAATCATATCATTCAGAGCCTTGTTGCAGTTCTCAAACCTCGTCTTCCACAGAGTTGACTCTTTGTCCATTTTCTTCATCTTGTCTGACATCTATAAAAGGGAGTAGTTCAAAATCAAAGTGCTTGGAAACATGGAAAGGTTCAAGAAGAATACGCCCAACATATCTGATACACAGAGTAAGTGGAGCTTAGATTTCTTTAAGGCTCCACACAGTTTATTTCCACCTACATTATCCATCTCGTTCTTGAAGCGGACGTAGATTTCATTGCTTTTGGACAGCGTCGCCTGAAACTCGTCAAACTTCTGGCCATACAGGGTCAGCTGTGAACATATGGAGAAAACAGAGTAAGACCTAAACAGAGACAGACATGAGAACAATTCAGGGTGGTTTCTGTCTTAAAGCAAACCCCAAACATGTATGTATTTCAGGAGAAACGAAATGATTACGGTGCTGTTTAAGCGTATCAGTCTTATTCTTCCAAATTCTATTTCCTGAACAAACTATTCAGTACTTTCTCACTATTTTATATCAACAGGGTTCACCTTAGTTTAAATTATTTTACAGTGTATCCTAACCTTAGACCGACCTTTAACTAGACCACTATAAATGCAGTGTATCAGGATAATTATAAAACCATATTTGTTCACAATAATTAAAGATGCAACATTTATTTATGTGGTCATTTTCAAATTCTGACCCGTCAAACATACACATCTTTGAAAGACACATAAACCTTATTCTCAAAACACATGAAAGGCAGGCATATGATTGCAAAAGACAGAAATACGACGTCCCTATAGCCCTTTCTTTCCTCTGTTTTGAATGTAAAACTCTTCCCTGCTCCACCAGGTGTGTGTGGCCTGTCCTGGTTGTCAGCATGTTAGTCTTGTCAGTGAATATTCACCTGCACCTGCATCAAGTTCCCCTGTTCCCTGAGTGTTTGAGTCTGAAGTTTCCACTCAGCAGCCTGAACCAGTAACTGGTTAGAGAGAACAGACAGAGACACATTAAGACGTTTCTTTACCTTCTTCTTCATGGCCAGCTCCTGCTCCTTCATAGCGTAGCATTTCTTTGTTTTGTCAATAGCCTCCCTAAGCAACTACGGCAACAGAAACAATACACAGTCAATCTGGGAATAGTATTTAACAAGGATAAATATCTGTAACAATGTAATGCAGTGAAAAACTACACTCAAAACATTTAAAAAGTTGACTTTAATTACATTTGTTTTGTCAACAGCTTCTATTTAATTATGATAGGTTGCTTTTAAGTAACCCATTACTACGTAAGAGGGCAAGGACCACATGTAAAAGAAATGTTTAGATCTGACCAGAATTTTGAGGGAAAAATACAGAATTTTGAGGAAAAAATTCAGAATTTAGAGAAAACATTCTTTTCATTTCTCTAATGTACAATGCCTTGTCTTTTCAACATGGGATCAATTAAGTGCTTCTTATCTTCTTATCTTATCTTATCTCATCTTATCTTACACATCTCCAGGTCAGTTCTAGGTGACGTTAACTCACGTATTCCTTCTCTCTCCTGTGCTTGTCCTCGGCCTCGGTCAGCAGAGCGTTGGCCTGCTGCAGTTTGGCTTCGGTCAGTTTGTGCTGCAGGTCGCGGTGTTTGTTGATTTTCTCCAAACTCTGCAGAGAGACGAGGAATCAGACTCACAAACAGCTTCTTTCTGTACCGATGTATCTGTTGAAACTCTTATCAATGAATTCAATAACTGTTTGGTCAGTAAAATATCCAAGATTACATTACATGTTAGACGCTTTTATCCAAAGCGACTTACATACTCAATACTGAGGACAATCCCCACAGGAGCAGTTTGGGGTGAAGTGTCTCAGGGACACAACGACATGCTGACTGCAGTGGGGTTTGAACCTGGGCTCCCCTGATCCAAACACCAACGCACTAGCGCCACACGCCTCCTCCCAAGATACTAATCGCAATGTCCCTAAAGCCCAAGTTTACATATTTAAATTGCTTGTTTTTTTATGAACAAGAGACCAAAACTCAAAGAAATATTCATATGTATATCATGTTTAAGGGGTATGTACATATAGCTTTAAGGTTAATGTCACATATCACTTCTTGTTATCCCTCTACTTTCTACAAACTAAATAACCCCCTAAAGAAACCATTTTGTGGGGTTGGATATGCACCCAATTTTAAAATTGTTAAAACATCGGAGCTGCTGTTAAAAATGTTATTAAGTCTTCTAATATGGTTATAAAATGTAAAACCCAACGGTTGAGGCTTATTATGATCTATGAAGATGTATTTCTACAATAAAGACCAAATAACCTACAGAAACTACTAATTCCTCATACGTGTCAACCTACCTGCTAATAAAGTTTCTGATTCTGATTCTGATTCTAATATGGTTATAAAATGTAAAACCCAACAGTTGAGGCTTATTACTATCTTTGAAGATGTATTATGTCGACCTTTGACCCCTCACCTCCTCCCTCATCTCGCACTGGGACATCAGGCCCTCCAGTTTGTCGGTCAGGTTGCTGTTCTCGTGGCACAGCTTGTCGTTTCGGGTGCTGTGCGTCTCGATCTGAGACTGGATTTCTGTCAGCATGCTCTGGAAGTGGCCGGTGATTTCAGAGCGTTTCTCCTCGTCGTCCCTGCAGCGTTTCAGGGTTTCCTCCTGAAGGGGGAGGAGGGGGATGGATTAGGCTTTACTATATCACTATCAGTATTTTAAGATTCTGGCATGTATTTTTAGCTGCTAACCATGAACTTTGGGGCCACCAGGATCAGGCCCAGAGGCACAAAGTGTCAAACTACCAAATGTCATTCAAGGAGAAACACAACAACCAGGAAGACACAACATGACTACAAAGAGACATAAAACTGAAGCAAAATGACACAAAATGACTGCAGAGAGGCCCAAAAAGACACATAACAACTACAAAGGGATAAAAAACGGACAAAAATGACCACAAGTTGACGCAAAGTTACCATAAAAAAACGAACACATTTGGACCGAAAATAACAGCAAAGAGGCCCAAAACTATGGTAAAAAGGACCGTAAAAAAGTACCACAAAATCTAAATTAACACAGAATGAAAACAAAAAGAACAAAGGGAATACAAAAAGCAGACATTTTTTGTAAGTTTTGTGTCTGTGTATCTCTGTAATGATTTGTTTTTTTTGGTTTATGCAGTACACACACAGCTGCACACACACACACACACACACACACACACACACACACACACACACACACACACACACACACACACACACACACACACACACACACACACACACACACACGCACACGCACACACACACACACACACACACACTCATCTACCCACCCTCAGTGTGTCGTAGTGTCCTTGCAGTTCTCTACAAAGCGCCTCCAGCTCGCTGCGAGCCGCCGCGCTGCCTCGGCTCTCCTCCAGCAGCATGGACATCTGCTGCTGCAACACACACACCTTCCTCTCATCGCCGCGCCGCTGCACCGCCTGCACACACACACACACACACACACACACACACACACACACACACACACACACACACACACACACACACACACACACACACACACACACACACACACACATACACACACAACACACACACACACACACACACACATACACACACACACACACACACACACACACACACACACACACACACACACACACACACACACCACACACATGGAAGCACACATTGAATGAAGATTGCATAGTTTATGACAGAATGGCTTTGCTGTGTAAAAAGTCTCTAAAAGTATTCGAAATATTGAATAATTCTCACCACTTCGGCGTATTTCCTGACCACCTCTTCCAGTTTCTTGGCTGGAGAAGAGCCCTTGTTCAGACTCTTCATGATGAGACACACCTCTGCAGACACACACAGACACACACAGACACACACAGACACACACAGACACACACACAAAACCATGACGAATAATAACAAACTTTGTTGTATTAATCAGGGTGCATGAACTCAACACAATGAATGTGCATCTTGGGAAATGTAGGCTTCACAGTTCTTTTATTGCACTCATATTAGGATTAAAAGTCAATATATTTTGACATTTTGCTGCTTTACATTATTCTCAAGTCCCCATTATTTATGAATACAAAAGGAATCACTTAAAGTGCGAAAAATGCACTAGTATTGGAAAAAAGTGGGAAGAAAAACCCTTCCACATTCAGGAGTTTATCTTACTTACTTTGTCTGCAGATTTCTCCTTAATTCCCCAACAGTAAGCATTACATAAGTCCTCATTTGCATATTCAAACATAACATGTAATGTCAGTTATGAAGTGGGGAAGTTTCATGGTGATATCATTTGACATGTTTGACCCTATTCACCTGTAGTGCCTCCCTTTCACAGTAATGGTAGATCAAACTGACGTATGATCTGTTTTTGTTATTTAAAAACCGCCTCGCTCACCTTTCTCCATCGCAACGGGAAGTTCCTCTTTCGGCTCCGCCTTCATCTTTTCCACCTCTGCCTCCATCAAACTCTACAATCAAAACCATACGGACCTTTGAGAATAAAGTCCAATAACATTTTGATAGATCAAGTCTGAAATGCTTCATCACAGCAGCCTCAACATCAACAAGGACACATATTAAAGACAAGAAACAAAGGAAACAGACCCTTAACACAACATTTTAATCACTGAAGAGAAACTTGTTCAAGACCCTTAAAGGTACACCTGATCCTTAAACTTTGTATTTAATTCAGGATTAATTTAAGTCTAATGTTTTAAATCGTGAAACGAAGCCGTAAACGCGACAAATTAATTAACATGTTTAGTTTAGTTTAGTTTATTTGTTTATAGTGTCGTTGTCCCCGTTGATCAACTGTCACAAAAAACAGTAAATGGAGCAGCTTTAGCCAACATTGCTAATTTCCAGCTGTTGTCTCCGGCCAGATGATAATAGACACCTTTTTAGAATCATAATACATCAACAGCATTAGTTATAAAGAAAGAATGAAAGACAAGTAGATAGAAGCGAAAGGATGAAAGAGAACAATAAAATGCAAACAACACACGTTACTACATACATGTCACATATAGCACGTCCAGAGAGGGCAAACGTACACACATCCTTTACTCAAGTAGAAGTACAGATACTCGTGTTTAAAAATGCTCTGGTGAAAGTAGAAGTACTGACTAAACTTCTTTACTCAAGTCAAAGTAAAGAGGGCTTTGAAATGTACTTCAGTAAAAAGTACCCATAACTAGCAGCTGTTTTAAAGAGTACCTGACCTCCCTTTATATTAATAGAACAATAATGTCATTGTTAGCTAATGAATGTTTCCATGCTGAACAACGGCAACATGACAACGTTTTCATTGGTCCCTCTTCTTTAGAGAAGACCAGGAAATGATGGATACACGGATCGTGTTCAAATCAATAGGCACGCAATGACTCTAAAGAATAATGATCACGCCACCAAACACACATTCAAACTAAAGGAACCAGCCTGTTTGGGAAATGTGAGAAGTAGAAAGTACAGGTATTTGGGTTCAACATGTGAGAAGTAGAAAGTACAGGTATTTGTGTTCAACATGTAAGAAGTAGAAAGTACAGGTATTTGTGTTCAACATGTAAGAAGTAGAAAGTACAGGTATTTGTGTTCAACATGTAAGAAGTAGAAAGTACAGGTATTTGGGTTCAACATGTAAGAAGTAGAAAGTACAGGTATTTGAGTTCAACATGTAAGAAGTAGAAAGTACAGGTATTTGGGTTCAACATGTGAGAAGTAGAAAGTACAGGTATTTGTGTTCAACATGTAAGAAGTAGAAAGTACAGGTATTTGTGTTCAACATGTAAGAAGTAGAAAGTACAGGTATTTGGGTTCAACATGTAAGAAGTAGAAAGTACAGGTATTTGTGTTCAAAATGTAAGAAGTCAAAGTAAAAAGTCGTCAGAAAAACAAGTAGTGGAGTAAAGTACTGATACCAGAAAAATGTACTTAACGAAGTCTTTGTACTCCACTACTTCTCACCCCTGCTCACATCACAATCACACAACAGGAAGGAGGGTTTTTTATGTGTTTTATTCACCTGTTTGTCCAGG